ATGAGGTCAACCGTGATTTAAATTATCTAGCAGCAAATAATTTTAAACTCTTCACTCAGTACTGATGACATAAGAAAATGTTTATATCTACAGCACGAAGCTGCCAAGAATGAAATGACCGCGAAGCAGAAAGCATTGGACAGTTTCACCAGTAAAGGAAAACACTTGTTGTCTGAGCTAAAGAAAATCCACAGCAGCGATTTCACCTTGGTGAAAACCGATCTGGAAGGCATGGTGGACAAGTGGCTAGATGTAAGAATCCTCACCAGGGTTTCCAGAGATTCCAAGATATGTATTCTAGCTCTAACTTCCAGTGCTACATTCAAAACTAGATCCTGAAGGAAAATAATGTCTGCAGAGAGTTCAGAAATGTTGGCAAAAGTATTTTTATTTTTTTGTGAAGGTGGCTTGACAGATTTTCTAGATTTTAACTTGCTGGTTCCAATCCTAATTATAACTCTGTTTTTATGACTGTTCAATTATGACTAAAATGGAAGACTGATTTATTAACATCCTACAGAATGTTAAATCGTAATATAACAATAAAGTCACAAGACTATAATTTTGCATTGGGAAACATTGGGCCTGTAGTTTACAATTTTGTGTTTCAGTTCCGTTCCTGTATGATAACTAGCAATGTGACCAAGGTATTTGATATCTTCAGAACTTTACATCTCTGTGTATAAATATGTTTATTTCAGCTTAAAAGTCTAGTGATTCTGTTGCTTGTCCCTACTCCATTATCAATATCTAAGTTGAGAAATTTAACCTACAGTGGATTTCTTTTTTGATACTAAATTGGTGAAGTTAGACATTAATATTTGTGAAGTCCTGGTGTGGCACTGTGGGATAAAGCACTAGACTGCAAGGTCAGTTAGAACCGCAAGGTCAGTGGTTTAAACTCACCAGCCACTCCTTGGAAACCCTATTATAGGGTCATTATGAATTGAAATTACTCTAGGGCATTTAAAAACAACAATATACTCAAATGGATTCCTTGTGTGGTGCTGTAAGATAAGCTCTATACTGGAAAACACAAGGTCGGTGGTTTAGTGGTTCAACCCCACAGCTGCTCCTTGGAAACCCTATACAGGATCCCTATGAGTTGGAACCTACTCAGGGCACTTAACAGCAACAACAACATACTCAGACAGAAGCACTGGACTGTTAACTAAAAGGTTGGCAGTTCAAACCCACCAGTCACTCCTTGGAAACCCTATAAAGGGTCACTGTGGGTCAGAATCCACTCAATGGCACTTAACAACAACAAATATACTCAAAGAATTTTTTAGCTAAAGACTATATGCCTCCATGTTTCAAAGGACGTTTATGTGATAGGAAGAATGGGAAGCTATAATGCTATACTTTCTGCATGCAAAGGATCCCTGATGAAACTGTGGGTTAAGCATTGGGCTGCTTAATACTGGTGGTTCAAACCCACCAGCTACTCCATGGGAGTAGACTGTCTGCTCCCATAAAGATTCAGCCTAAGAAACCCTATAGAACCGTTCTGCTTGTCTTAAAGGGTCACTAAGTGTCAGAATCAACTGGCTAGCAATGGGCATGGTGGGCTAGCAATGGGCATGGTGGGCTGAGCTTGCAGATTGTCTTGCTCTTGCATATGCTGTTGGTGTCACATGCCTTCAAGTTCATTCTGACTCTGAAAGACTGTATAAGGTTTCCAAGGAGTGACTGGTGGGTTTAAACTGCCAACCTGTGGTTAGCAGTCCAGTGCATATCCCACAGCACCACACTAGGACTCGACTCTTTGGTTATGTTTAGATCTAATCATGGTCCATCCCTATACCTCAGTGTTACATATAAAAGTGATGATTATGGTACTTTCAAAAATAAACACAATAGTGTTTCTATTCCATATTATTTAGCCTGACAGTGAATTACATTATAGAAGAGTCCAAAAAAAACCTGTGGACATTTGTATCCCAATTAACAAATTACAGTTCAGTGTTGCAGAATCACTCCCAGTGAGCGAAACAATTATATGATGGTTAACATTCACTTGCTTGGGCAGACCAATGAGTTTACAACCGTTTTTATAAGAATCTATTTTTCAGTTAGAAGATCATTTTATGATTAAGAAACACTGATTTTGTTTTCATACCTGAATGGAGGAATTGAGCCTTGTAAAACCTCAGACTGTTCATGGTACGTCTTCTTTCCCTCCTAGATCTCAGAAAGAATTGAGGACAAGATGGACAGGCTGAGGGTCAGCCTGTCCATTTGGGACGATGTGCTTTCAGGTAAAGATGAGATTGATGGATGGGCAAACAACTCGGTCCCCCAACTGACTGAAAGCATCAGCAACCTGAATAACAGCCTTAGAATGGAAGAAATGCTTAAAGAATTTGAGGTAACATATGACAAAGCCTGGGTATAGGAGCTTGCAGTGTATTATGTATGTATTATGCAGTGTATTGAGTTCTGACTCATAGCAACCCCATATAGGGTGTCCAAGGAGCAACTGGTGGGTTTGAACCTTGTGGTTCTAGGTCCAATGCTGATCCTACAGCACCACACAAGGAGTCCTTTATGTATGTATGTATGTATGTATGTTGTTGTTGTTGTTGTTATTAAGTGCCATAGAGTCGGTTCAAACCCATAGCAACCCTGTATAGGGTTTCCAAGGAGTGGCTGGTGATCTTGAACTGCTGACCTTGAAGTTCAAACAACTTTGCAGTCCAGCTCATTAACCCATAGCACCAAATCAGGACTCCTATGTATGGATAAAGGGAGAATATTGTGTGTTTATAAAGGTGGGAGATTTTTTTAAGTTGTTCTTCCTCTTAGAGGCATAGATTAATGTTACAAATCTCTTGACTACCTTTCGTTACTTGTTTAAAGTTTAAATAGGTGATGGATAAGAGTGTGCTGCATTTTTATCACTTCTTAGCTGAGTTTTCTTACTTCAAGAAGAAACAGGTAATTGTAGAAAAGTCAAAGTCCATAAAATCGATCATTTCTCCCAGTAATTTGAGAATATGACACACTCCTACTTGAAAAGCAAATAGAACATATTTTGTAACTTAGCATCTACTTTTCATTTACTCACAAAACATGTCTTCTGAACACTGCTGGGTGCTGGATGGTCCCTCGTAGTTTCTTTTAGTGATGGGATAAAACTAAAGATTGCATTGCCACAGGTTGCCAAGGAAAAGTCTGGTTTTTTTAAAGTTCTAGTCACGGAGCTCTGGTAGCGTAGTGGTTACGAATCGGGCTGCGAACCTTAAGGTCAGCGGTTCGAAACTACCAGCCGCTCTGTGGGAGAAAGATGAGGCTTTCTACTCCCGTAAGGATTTACACCCTCGGAAACCCTGTACAGGGTCGCTATGGGTCGGAACCGACTCGACGGCACTTAACAACAACAACATAACAGTCACCAACTTATTTTAATCTCATTGGATGCACATCTCTCCCTTTAAGCTACTTATTCTTACCCCAAATTCTAATGTTGTTGTTGTTGTTGTTAAGTGCCGTGGAGTGGGTTCCATAGCAACCCTTTATAGGGTTCCCATCAAGCAACTGGTGAGTTTGAACCACTGACCTTGTGGTTTGCAGTCCAGTGCCGATCCAACAACGCCACACTAATGAGCACCTAATAAATACCAGTACTGTTTCAGACACTGGGAATATATAATAGTAAAGCAAAGCCCCCCGATCTCACGGACTTTATATTATAATCTTTTGGTGGTGGTGGTGGTGGTGCTGTTGAGTTGGTTCCCGACACTTCTCACTCCTCTATCCACCTCACAGTTGTTGTTATGCATGAGTCAATTGCTGCTACCACTGAGCTTCTCCATTTTAGCTGACTCTCCACTTTTCCTAGCATGGTGTCCTTCCCCAAAGACTGATCTCTTTTTATACCATGTCCAAAGTATGAGATTTGAAGTCTCGCCATTCTGGCTTCTAAGGAGCATTTTGACTGCCTGTCCTCTTCATTACATGTAAATGATCAGAGAGTGTATTTTATATTGTTGTTAAGTGCTGTCGAGTTGGTTCCGACTCATAGCGACTCTGTATAGGGTTTCCGAGGAGTTGCTAGTGGGTTTAAACGGCTGACCTTGTGGTTCAAACTGACCTTGTAGTTGGGTGCCTATCCTATAGCACCACACCAAGGCTTTATAGTATAATTATGATCTCTATTACTCGTAGGAGTCATAGTTGTATAGTAGGTTATGCACTAGGCTGCTAAATGCAAGGTCAGCTGTACAAACCCACCAGCCACTTCTTGAAAGGAAGATGAAGCTTTCTGTTCCTGTAAAGATTTACAGCCTCAAAACCCGGCACAGGGTCATTATGAATTGGAAATGACTTCATGGCACACAATCACCACCACCATAGTACACCTGAAACATTGGGCAGTGGCACTGTTGGCAAAGCACTGAACCACAAGGTCAGTTGGAACCACAAGGTCAGCAGCAGAAAGTCACCAGCTGCTCCTTGGAAACCCCTTACGGGTCATACTTACTAACAACAGCAGTAAGCCTAGGGTAATAAATGAAATGGTGAGGGGAAACAGTGCTGAGAGATAAACACTTCACAAAGTGACTAACTTTGTCTTGTGGGGGGCGACCCATGTTTCTCTATCATTGACTCTTCTGGAACCCAGTGTTGTGTTTGGCACATATATGGGACCTGAGAGACACCTGAATGAATGATACTAGTCTGGAAAATATCGCTGAATGAACTGGATTGCTAAGTTACCTTGCTACCAGTGGCCTCAAGAACATTCTTGAAGTTGTATAATCACATTCCAATTTCAAAGGACAATCCAAAGTAGAGGAAGTATTCCAGAAGGAAGGGAGAGTGAAGAGTCAGGAGCCTCCGTCTCTTTATGATGACGTCACTGAGTTTCCTTTAAGGCTGCAGTTCAAGCAGTGTTGGATGCTGGGTTGGCTTGTACCAGCTCCTAAGGACTGATTGTTAAATTTATCTGAATTTTGCAAGCTGGTATTGAATACACCAATTATTAAAAATTACATAAATTTTCAAGAAGAAATTGTCACATGTCCTAAACACTTACCGCTTTGTAATTATTACTCTGAGTCCCTGGATAGTGCAAAAATGTAACACACTGAACTACAACCCAAAAATCTACTCAGGTGTGTTGGAAGAAAGACCTGGTGATCTTCTGAAGCATCAGCCATTGGAACCCTATGGAGTGCACTTCTTCTCTAACATACAAAATTAGCTCAGTGCCAGTTGGTTTCGTTATTCGGTTTCCAATGATGATTCTACATATTCCTATTATCTGTGCTCTTTATAACCATTATATCTGTGTGGTGGAGATGTTGCCAGTTCTTTGCACTGGGACACCATGTTGTAGCTTCAAATAAGCTACCAGGATGGTGGAGGCTACATGCTATGGAGTCAGTTCTGACTCATAGTGACTCGGTACAGGGTCTCCAAGGCTGTAAGTCTTTATGGGAGCAGAAAGCCTCATCTTTCTCCAGTGGAACAGCTGGTAGTTTCAAACTGCTGACCTTGAGGTTAACAGCCCAACTCGTAACCATTATGCTAAACATAGTGCTTTATGCATACCCTAGAATTTGGTAAAATCCACAAATGAGACCCTTATTTTTGGCACCCCCCCAAAAAAAAGCCCCACTGCAGTCAAGTCAATTCTGACCCTGTATAGTGTTTCTGTGGCTGTTAAGTCTTTATAAGAGCAGAAGGCTTCATCCCATGGAGTGACTGGTGGGTTTGAACTGCTGGACTTGTTGTTATCAGTCCAGTGCTTATCCTACAGTGCCAGCAAAGCTTTGGAGAAGCCAGGTGTTAAATATTTATTTAGTAGCACAATTCCAACCTCAAAGACACGGGTTCAATGTGCATCAGACTCATATCCCATATGAGCAAGGCTCCATCACTCAGAGACATGATTGTTTTTCTGTGGCTGGCTGTGGGACCCTAACTAATGAAGTCAGTGATTGGCTTCAGCCCTTTTCCGATAGCGGCTTCACAGCTGCCATGCAATCATGAAGTAGAGGTGTGTGATTCTTTAACTGCCCAAAATGAGTTTGTTCTCCTATCAGCCTGCTCTGGAGAGGTCGGTGGGCTGACCTCTGCTTCATCACACTGTACTGTGTGAGTATTTTTTCATGGATAGAAGGCATCAGAGGTTTGTTAGTGTCCACAAAGCCCCAACATACCCTTCTTAATTCAAGACAAGAATTTGTTGAATGGTTCCTTTAGAGCCTCAAAAACCTAATGAAGTCCACAAGTGTCCAGTTCGTTCAATAATGACCTTTTGATTGTTCTTGCTTCTAGTTGTCTCAGTGTTGGCTGTGTGAGCAGAAAAAAGAGAAAATATTAGATGTTGGTTCTCTGGTTAACATGAATTCTGCCTTAATGTTCTTTAAAGACTCATTTTATATGATTTATGTATTACGTATATTTTATAATAATTAGATGCCCAGCGTATGTGTTTGTTTTGAAATACTTCTTCAAGAGTTTAACGCTACCATGGTAACCAGTGGTTTTAATGGTAATGAATAAATGACAGTTAGTCTAGTAAAAATCCACACTGACTCAAGATTTTTTTGGTCAGTGTTTAATTTTTTCCATGAGTTTTTTTTTTTTTTTCCTTTCCCTAATAAAAGGGAGGGAGGGTAAAAAGAAAGGAAGTTCCACGTATTCCCTCGCATTCTACCAAGTGAAAAGTTAACTGACATTGTTCCACATTCGTATATAATGGCAGCTCTCCGAAGTGAAACAGAGGTGAGGTTTTTGTTTTATTTCTAATGCTGGCTTAAAATTGGGATATTTGGGCAGAGTTAACTGTTGAGATGACTGAATATCGCATGTACAGCATACCAGCATTTTGATTTGTTGTACTTTTCCCTTTTTTTGTTTCTTTTGGCAGTCTGAAGTGAAAACCAAAGCCCTGAGACTAGAAGAACTTCATTCCAAAGTCAGTAATCTCAAAGAATTAACAAAAAATCCGGAAACGCCACCAGACCTTCAGGTAAGTACTCTATCAACTTTTTAATAACTATTATATATAAAGCTCTTTGCTAAGTGCTAGATGTATGTATGTATGTAAGATAGAGAAATAGATACATAGGTAGGTAGATAGATAGATAGATAGATAGATAGATAGATAGATAGATAGATAAAGGGGCTTCAAAAAGTTCATGGAACATTCATTATATTATCTTTTACTTACATTTCCCTACAAACTTTTTAAGACCTCTGCATAGATAGATCAACTCAGCAGCAAATTTTTTTTTTAAGATTAAAAAAAATAATAATATAGAATTTTATAATAAAGCGCTGTTCAGTCTTATGTTGTTGTTAATAAGTACCGTGAAGTCCGTTCCGACTCATAGTGACCCTGCACAGGGTTTTCAAGGCTGTAAATCTTTACAGGAGCAGAAAGCCTTATCTTTCTCCTCCAGAATGGCTGGTAGTTTTGAACTGCTGACCTTGAGGTTGGCAGCCTGACTCAAAACCACTACGCTACCGGAGCTCCAGTCTTATAGGTGCCATATTTTACTTTTTCTTTTTTTTTAACTTTTTGTGAATTGAGTGAAGGTTTACAGAGCAGATCATCAGCTTTGCTTTCAACAAATCCTACACTTTATTTCATCTCAATGATTGCAATCCCCTCTTTGTACCAACAGTTCTCCCACTTCCTCCCTGGGGTCCCTATTTCTAGTCCACCCTCCTTCCCATCCATTTTCCACTTTGTCCTGACGTAAACGTTGCCTTTTTGATCTAGAATGATTAACCATTCCATGGTAAGCAGACTTTGTTCATGTTGTTGTCCCCCACCCTATATACCTATTTATTGGCTGGCTGGAAATTGGTCCACAAAGGAGAATTTTGTTCCAGACCCGAAGCAGGCATGAAGGCCACAGCCTCGGGTCCTTCAGTCTCTTTCAGACCAACAGCCCCAGTTGTTGTTTTTTTCCTTTTATAATTTTGATTTTCATTTCACATTTGTCCCTTCTAATGGGATGCCTGTGATAGCAGCTGGGAATGGTAGCTCCACACCACCAAGTTCTTTTGGTCTCCGAGTCCTGGTCTGTGCCATTGCGCCATTGAACTAGTTGGTTCCAAGCATTTTCTATTTTTATCACTCTTCTTTCTCCTCTACCTGGGGAGCCAGTAGTTGCACTTTAGCTGGCTGCTCATGAACTTTAAGATCCCAGTTGCTCCTCACCAAAGTAGTATATAGAATGTTGTCTTTGTGGACTATGTTATGCCAATTGACCATGGTGTCCCCTGAGAACTCCGAGGTCCAGGAACTCATTGCCTTATAATGTTTGATAATATCTGAAAAGTTTTCATGATTTTGCCTCCTGTATGTTCCACCACATTTATAGTTGTGCTTGCAGCAAAGGTAAACACCCATGTACAAACATCCTCTTTAAAACCCTTATATATTTGTGAGGATACTCCTACTCTCCCTCCCATACCCATTCATCCTGTGTATCGGTCTATGTATCTACCCACAGAACACTGTTGTTCCCGGGGTTCTGTGTTAAGTGCCGTTGAGTTGGTTCTGACTCATAGTGACCATGTATGTAGTTTCCAAGGAACTACTGGTGGGTTTGAACAATCGATCTTGCATCTGAAACCAACCTTGTTGTCTAGTGCTTATCTTTCAGCACCATGTCTGGACTATTTACCTCCATCCCCTTTAACTCATGCATAACCTCCCTATGGCTTCACCTGTCTTCATCATTGTTCATCCAAACTCCCTCATCTTGTGTATTTCCCTTCCCATTGCCCACATACGTCTAGTTACTAGCCAGTGAATTACTCTCCCTTCCCTCCCACCCCTAGCAACCATCAAAGAATATTTTTATTTAACATAAAAACCTTTTCTTAAGTTTTTTCAATAGTGGTCTCATAAAATATTTGCCTTTTTGAGATTGACTCATTTCACTCCAGGTTCATCCATGTTATGAGGTGTTTCTCTGACTCAGTGTTATTCTTCAGTGGTGCATAGTATTCCATTGTGTGTCTGTACAGAATTTGTTTATCCGTTCTTCCACTGGTGGGCATTTAGGCTGTCTCCATCCTTTTGCTGTTGTGAATAGTGCTGTGATAAACACTCGTGTGCATGTATTTACTTGTGTCCTGGCTCTTATTTTTTGAGGATATATACCAAGTAGACGGATTGCAAAGTCTTATAGTATTTCTATTTGTAACTTTTTGATGAAGCACCATACCGTTTTCCACAGTGTTTGTACCATTTTACAGTCCCACCAGCAATGGAGGAGGGTCCCAGTCTCTCCACACCTTCACCAGTATTTGTTATTTGTTGTTTTCGGTGGTTTTGAACTTTCCTATTAATTCTGAGGTGAGATGATATCCCATTGTTGAGGGCCATAGAGTTGGTTCTGGCTCATAACAACCCTACAGAGGATTGTTGGTTTGAATGACTAGGTGGTTTGAACCACCAAGCATGTGTTTATCAGTCCAATGAGTATCCTACAGTGTCACATATATATGAAGGGACTTCAAAAAGTTCATAGAAAAATCTCATTATTTTTTCATTCCATTTTCCCATGAACTTTTTGAAGCCCCTTCGTGTGTGTGTGTGTGTGTGTGTGTGTGTGTGTATACCCTCATTGTTGTTGTCATCATCACCACAATTCCCAGCAAACACGTAGATCTTATAGTATATGTATGATGCTTAAATATAAACATCGTTAGCACTCTGTGCAATTATAAATGGTATCTTTCAAACTCAAAGATTATAATAAAATCATTTCATTTTAAGAAATATTGGGAACACTACCAACCAGTTTGTCTCATGAACCATTTTATTTCTGGACAGCAGCAGACACAAGCTTGAATGATGACTGATGCTCTTATCAAGGAGTTCTGGTGGCTCAGAGGTTAAGTGCTCAGCTGAACCTCACTCCCAGCTGCTCCACAGGAGAAAGATGTGACAGGCTGTTTCCTACAGATAACAGCCTTAGAAATCCTACAGAACAGCTGTAGTCTGACCTATAGCGTTGCTCTGAGTTGGAATTAACTTGATAATTAAACTTGATAATTAACTTGATAATTAAACTCAATAGGTTTGGTGTTGAGATGGCATTCTTACCAATATTCTTTCATTTGCTCTGTAACGAGTTTGGAGGAACCACCACTGAAGATCTCCCTCTGAGGCCCTGTAGATAGCACATGCCCACAAGGACCACCAGGCAGGATGAGGTGCTGAGCTCATGTAAGGAACTCGAGTGTGTGCTGTTGGCTTTAGCTGCCTGTATTGAGGGCTCGAGGGCTTCAGACAGTGATGGCCTGATATACTTCAGCCTGTATCTTTGCTGCTACAATGACCCCTTGTGGCACAGTGGTTAAACTCTTGATTGCTTACTAAAGGGTCAGTGGCTCAAACCCACCAACCCACCAGGCTGCTTCCATAAAGATACAGCCTTGGAAGTTCTATGAGGAGTTCTTCTCTGTCCTTTAGGTTCGTTTTGAGTTAGAACTGACTTGACTCGACAGTGGTGGGTTGTGGTGTAGCTGTGCTGCAACCACCATGGATTTGGGCCACGTTTTCTCTTTCTCTTGTGCCTTTGTCTTTGACTTGCTACTTACTACTCACTAATTTGTCCATTTAATTGGATTAACTGTATTTTTATTCTGACCCAAGATTGTGTATCTTTCCGTTCCTATCTTTGGTGGATGATATGCATGTACTGAAATGCTAAAGCAAGTTTCACCTGAGGCAGTAGAGTCAAAGGACGGAGCCCATATACAGGTCACCTGTGTCAAAAGTATAACTAGCTAGCTGGGCAACAGGTGTACGTTTTGCAGCGTGAAGATTGAGGCAGTATTTCAGGAAAGAGCTACTCTACTGATTACCTAGGTGTTCTCAGGGAAGAGGTGTGGGCGTCTTCAGTAAAGTTCCTTCACGTGAGAAGGGTTTCATGGTAACCCACAGGTGGAAGTCTTGTATCTAACTCACCTTGACAGACCTAAAAGGTCTGAGACAGACTAGCAAATGGCTGAAGGACGTGCCATGGAGAAATGAATGTTTGGTATGTTTTTCAGGGGGTGAGTCTAGAATGAGACTCTGGCCCATATGTGAGTCATGAGAGAAAAGAAAGAGCACTGATCTAGGGACATCTGAGGTTGGCCTAGAAAACTCTTTGGAGGAAGAACAGATCTTAGCAAGGAAGAGTTTACAAAGATGCCTAGAGGCTGATGAGGAAAAGGTAAAAAGTCAGAGGAGAGGCTTAGCGGTGTATCCAGGGGACTCCAAGCAGTCAGCTGCTAACTGAAGTGGGTTTTAATCCACCAGCGACTCTGCAGGAGAAAAGACCCGGTGATCTGCTCCCATAAAGATTCCCAAACCAATGCCATCGAGTCAGTTCCCACTCAGTTTCTGAGACTGTAAATCTTTATGGGATTGGAACAGCGTCATCTTTCCCAATGTGGAGCCACTGGTGGGCTTGAACTGGCAAATTTGTAGTTAGCACACCAGTGCTTATCTACAGACACCAGGACTCCGTCCCATAAAAATACAGCCTAGAAAACCAGATGGGGCCGTTTTACTCTTCCTATAGGGTCATTATGGATGCAAATGGAATTAATGCACTTAACAAGGACAAGAAACTCCAACAGGAGGCCCTGCAATGGGGAGGGGCATGTCTCAGAAGAGTGAGAGATGAAGCCAATGAGAAATGTCAGCCAGCTTGTGAGAGTTAGTAAGTAAAGCACTGAGACCCTTCTTACCCACCTTCTGTAAACTCCAGCCCACAGCTGTAGAAGCTGTCATTGGCAAGTTGAGGTGGGAGAAGAGAAATGAAGTGAGGGAAGAGAAAAGGAGACGCTGTTTCTCTCTCTCCACTTGGGCTTCCTACTCATGTCTGAGCGGAGGTAAGAACAAAGCCTTTAAAGGAAGTTCCCAGTCTGGGTTATTTAACAGGTCTGATTGATTCCATTCGGGAATTGAGATTGTTCTGCAAGTGATAGTGACGGCTAAGGCCTTTGATGATCTCAGCAGTCAGATCAGAGAATCCCAAGGCCCTGCCCTAAACGTATCTTCCAGAGAAGAAATAGCGAGCGCCATTGCAGAGTTTAAAGGAGGTTGGTTCTGCCTCACAGCCACCCTGCATAGGTTTCTGAGGAACAGCGGCTGGTGAGTTTGAACCTCTGACCAAGGTTGGTTCAAACCAACCTTGCCGTCCAGTGCTTATCCTAGAGTGCCACACCAGGACTCCTTAAAGAAGTTATTATTGCTGTTAAGTGCCAATGTGTCCGTTCCAACTCATAGCGACCTTGTATAACGTTTCCTAGGAGTGGCTGGTGAGTTTGAACTCTCGACTTTTCAGTTCAAATTGACCTTGAGGTTGAGTGCTTATCTTACGGTGCCACACCAAGACTTCACAATTATGAGTTAAGTGCCGTCAAGTCAGTTCTGACTCATAGTTACTCTGTATAAGGTTTCCACGGAGTGGCTGGTGACTTGACCCACCAACCTTGCAGTTCAAACGGCTTTGCAGTCTGGTGCATTAACCCATAGCACCACAAAAGTTATATTTGAAATGAAGTTGCTTTACTATAAATTGTAAAAGTAATTCTTGTTTTAAAGCAATGGTTGCATCAGAGAAAAACCTGTGTGAATGTTTCCTTGGGAAAATGAAAGCAGGGTTTTGGCAGCCTGCTTGGTAATTCTGAGTAGGTCCTATTAAGTGCTGTTAAGTCAGCTCCAACTCATACTAATGACCCTTTACAGGGTTTCTGAGGAGTAGCTGGTAGTTTTGAATCACCATCGTATGGTTCAAAGCAACTCTGAGGTCCAGTGCTTATCCTACAGTGCTACACCAGGACTCCTGAGTAGATCTAGCCCCTCTTTTAGAATGTGATCCAGTCATTCCCTGGATTCTGGGGGAAACAACTACTTTAGCATCCTATGTTAATTGCAATGCTCGCATTTTACCTTTCCCTACCACTTAAAATGTGTGGTAGCTCTTACCCAGTGATTTGTTGTTGTTGTTTAAGAAAGTAGTATCCACAAATAAACCTTTGGACCTGGCTTCCATGGTTGGTCTTTTGTGGTTTTGACCCTTAATGCACGCATGAGGAGATTTTTCTGTTGAATGGATGTCCTTCTGTCTTCACACTTTTTTAATGAAATCTTGTTTTATGTGTAGTTTATAGAAGCCGACTTAAGGCAGAAGCTGGAGCATGCCAAAGAAATAACGGAAGTCGCTAAAGGAACCCTGAAAGATTTCACTGTTCAGACCACACAAGTGGAGAGATTCATTAATGACAGAATCTCCTGGCTGACAAAGCTGGAAGAGTCATTGGTGAACTGTGCGCAAAGTGAGACCTGTGAGGGGTTGAAGAAAGTAAAGGTAGGCAGTGAATGCTTGTTAAATCTTTCCACTTAAATGTCGGTATTCATTCTCTTTTGTGATGAATGTCCTCACCTGTAATTACCCACATTTACAGCAGACCACAGAATTCAGAGCAGGGTGAGACAGGTGAATGAATGCAGGTGGTAAGAATTCAAGGGTGACTCATTTGCTAACAAAACATGGGGTCGCTTAGGGCTAAAGCACAGGTCATACGCATTCATATTCTTTTGGTAAAAGCTGTAGTGCCTTTTGAAGGAGCCCTGGTGGCACAGTGGATAAGCACTGGATGCTAACCTAAAGGGTCTGTGATTCAAACCCACCAGCTTCAGGTACAAGAGAATGATGATTCCGTAATGATTCCGTAATGATTGGCAGTCTTGGAAACCCTAAGGGGCACCTCTACCCTGTCACATAGGGTCACTAGGAGTTGAAATCAACTTGACAGCAATGGGTTTCGGTCTTTTTAGGTTATGGATGGACTACTTGAATTTCCATGAAGTTTTAAACTTGAATTCCAAGTAATCTTCTATTACTTATTTATTGGTTGCTATGACTGCTTTCATCTAGAGAAGGATCTATTAAGCAGAAGCAGCTGAGACAATGGTCCAGTTTCAAATTGTCCATATTCATACTTGGTGTTTCTGATGGTGGCTGGTGGTGGCTGTGTGCCGTGGAGTCGGTTCCGACTCATAGCAACCCTGTACAGGGTTTCCGAGGCTGTAAATCTTTACAGGAGAACGCCTCATCTTTCTCCCGCAAAACAGCTGGTAGTTTCGAACTGCTGACCTTGTGGTTCGAATCCCGATCCATAACCACTACGCTACCAGAGCTCCTTCTGATAACTAACCCTAAAGGACTTTTCAACACATGAAGTTTGCTCTCTGTGTTTTCTTACTATACTTTAATGCAAGGACACACTTTTTAAAAAAAAGCTTTTATTGTGAATTAAGTGATATTTACATGGAGAACATCAGTTTTATACTCATCCTATCGTATTTAATTTCATTGCAATGATTGCACTCTCTTCTGTGCATCATTATTCAACAGTATTTGCTTCTATTTCATCTTTTTTTTTATTTTGAATATACACAAAAACACTCAGGGATATATAATCATTGAAACAACCAAAGGACACTTTCTGCAAGCCTGCCTCCTGGCTGCCAGCACACAGCCTTTCTCTTCCATGACTCTAGAGTCCTCAGCTGCTTTCTCTTTTCATGTCCTCATCTCTGCCTCCATCTCTGGTGTCGCTGCTTCTCTGGAAAAGGTTCCACATGCTGCTCGTGCTCTTCTCCCTTGGTGGTCCTAGGATCCTCTGTTCTTGGAATGTAACATCAACTACGTCCCCCTTTTTGTTTCAAAACTTCTACCTTTACAGTTGTGACAATCACAATTAGTCGTGATAATAATCATAAGAATCTTATCCCCATCTCCTCTTCATCAGACCAAGGATACACATTTTCAAATTAACTACTGACCTTATTGTTGTGGGCTGTGGACCCTGAAAACAAAGCCCACTGAAGAATGTACAGTGAGGAAGTTACTCTATTAATAGTTTCTAATCCTGGGGTGGCGCTGTGGGCTAATGCGTCAGACTGCAAAGTTGTTTGAACTGCAAGGTCTGTGGTTCAAGCTTATCAGCTGCTCCTTGGAAACCCTATATGGGGGCTCTGGGTTGGAATAGACTCGATGGCACTTAACAACAACAACAACCATCAGGTCATCAAACCTAAGGGAAAAGGCTAGAGTTCACAGGACCTGTTCAATTTTCTTGAGGTCCTAGACCTCAAGTCCTATAACTCAAACCCTAGCCACCTTTCAATACCTAATTATAGTTGTTCCCTATAAAAACATGAAGCACCAACCATACCTCCCATAGCCCTCTCTACTCAGCCAGCTTTGATAATTCATTGCAGTGATCACACAGAACTCAGGTACCATACTGAGTTATGAGGTTTATTAGGGCAGTTAACAGGTTGAACAATACAGGGTCAGAAATTCTCAGGTTACATTTGTTCTAGTCAGCTACTGTTAAATGCCCACAGGACACACACCACTCCACCATTAGTCCCTCAACTCTAGCTCCATGGGCCAGCAAACCTAGCTCTAGGAGGCACCCCACTCTATAAGCAAGCCTCCTGCCCAGCCCCTCAGCTTTACTTGCTCTGTGGGCTGGGAAGATCACGGCTTTGTCTCCTGCTCTGGTTCTTGGTTCTGTGCCTCTGATGTCACAACTCTCTGCCCCTGGGTCAAGGATGTTGAGTGGGAAGCCATCTTCAGGGTCCACAGGACAGGCTCCACTCCTGGTTCTGGTTCTTTGATAGTAATGACATCCCTCCTCCTGTTTCTGAGATGGTTCATTTACTATCCATTCTAGAGTTTCAAGTTTTGACAATTACAGTTAGCTCTGTAACATCTACAGCTGAATCCTGTCATTCTGTCGGTATCTTCTCCCACTTCCTCTCACCTAGACCCTGGAGGGCAGAAATATTGTTTTATGGGAGTTACAGACTAGGGCTAGAAAAGACATTAGATAATTCACTACACCAGATTCCCAAAGAGAATCAAGCAGAATTCTGAAAGAATCAGTGCAGATCTATCACACATACTCAAAAATGCCCACAAAAACTCAAGAGTGGGATTCAAAATGGCATTAATCTCATCCTAAAACAGACAAAGGAGTTCTGGTAGCGTAGTGGTTACGAATCGGGCTGCAAACCTCAAGGTCAGCAGTTCGAAACTACCAGCTGTTCCATGGGAGGAAGATGAGGCGTTCTGCTCCTGTAAAGATTTACAGCCTCGGAAACCCTGTACAGGGTCGCTATGAGTCAGATCCGACTCCACGGCACACAGCCACCACCAAAATAGACAAACCACAGTAGAGTAAATGGAATATTTCTCTTAAATGTGATGGCTGTCCTTCATTGTGTATGTTTCTTCCTTAGGATATGCAAAAAGAACTTCAAAGTCAACAAAGCAACATCAGCTCCACCCAGGAAGATCTGAATAACTTATGCCGCAAATATCACTTGGCAGAATTGGAGAACTTGGGGAGTGCACTGACCGCTTTGATAAAGAAACATGAAGCTGTAAGCCAGTTGTGCTCCAAAACACAGATCAATCTTCAGGATTCTCTGGAAAAACACTTCCATGGTGAGTTCTGACAGGGCTTAGCTTGTAGATGATTTGTTTATATGAGAGAGAAACTCCAAAGCAAATGCTGCTTGGAAACTGCCAGCAAATACAGTTTGAGAAAACCTTCCAGTTAGATGTTGTTTCAAATTCATATTTGCTGTGAGATGTGGCTGTGATAGTAATGTTGAGCAGACGCTCTCTGGTCTTCGCCAGAGGATTCCGCCATTTTGGTGATTCTGAACTTCATTTGAGTTTCCCACATGTGTGGAGAATTAGTTCCAATATCTAAGTGGTCAGCAGTTAATGTCCCGATGACGATTGAAGGTTTTTATGCCAAGATGAAGTCACACAGTAAATTGGTATGTTAGTAGAGGCCATAAAACTGATAACCACAAAAACTGATAACCCACAAAACTTGCAGTAATCTGTTCCCGACTCCACTTCCCACCTGTCGTGTTTGCACGTTATGAGTACTGGGTAAAGAGCAGAGCATTTTCCTCCCATTACCATAAAAATTGCTTTCACACCATCCCCAGAACATTTCTCCCTTATACTTTCACACAGTGTGGGAATTCATAGTCTAGACCAAAAGAAAGGAGCATAATGGGAAATCAGACATTCTAGAAATATGACATTTCTGTTGAGGCATCTGTGTGTGATCATTCTTCAGTTCTTTACAATCATGCTCATAAGTCATGCTGTGTATAATTTTCTAAATGATTATATTCTTTCTGGAATACATTTAAGGCCAGACAAGCTGGGCTGATGGCGAGAGTCATTCACTGTAGTAACAGTGGAAGGTCAGTTAGTTTTTCAAATTTATTCTTGATTGTTGTTATTTTCAAAGAATCCATGCAAGAATTCCAAGATTGGTTTTCTGAAGTAAAGACAGCAGCTAAAGACTCATCAGATAGGACTGGCGACAGCAAAGTTCTGGAGGCGAAACTCCATGATCTTCAGGTATGGAAATTGATAGTTCTTCTTCTTCTTCCCTGAACTGCACTCAAGCGTCTTCAGGTCTGAGTGGAATTCTCTCGTTTGCAGATCTTATTTTACTCAGTCTTCTCTTATATCCTGGCAGAAATAGGCTTTCTGAGTCAGGAGGAGACAGGCAATACTCAAGTAGGCTGAGAACATAAGTTAGAACTAGAATGTTTCTAGTTCCCTTTCCATTACCTCTCAACCTATTGAGCATCCTTTGGAATTCATTCAAAAATTAAATTTAACTTTTATAGCAATGTTATTGTTTTTAAGTGCTGTCGAGTCGTTTTTGACCCATAGTGACCCTGTATAGGGTTTCCAAGGAGCGACTGGTGAGCTTGAATGACCAACCTTGTGGTTCAAAGGACTTTGTAGTCCAGCGCATTAGCCCACAGTGCCACACCAGGACTCAAAAAAAAAAACAACCCAGACTCCTACCACCCCTAGGATCCTCAGGTGGTCTCCCATCTACCATCCCTAGGATCCTCAGGAGGTCTCCCATCTACCACCCCTAGGATCCTCAGGTGGTGTCCCATCTACCACCCCTAGGATCCTCAGGAGGTCTCCCATCTACCACCCCTAGGATCCTCAGGAGGTCTCCCATCCAAGTCATAGCTGGGCAGGACCATGCTTAGCTTATGAGATAAGAAGACATCAGGCACATTCAGGGAGCAATAAAAGCATGAAAAAAAGTAGATTTTATATCATTCTTACAGAGGAGTTTTAAATAAAAGGGTAAAACATGATTTGTGGTTTTTAAAATCATCTAAATTTGGCGATATTATATATTCCAATTAAAATAGGTATTGCAGGTTTTATAGGGTTCATGACTCTGAAAAATGTATGAATTCATGAAGAAAAAGGCAATTGTGAAGCAGAGTTAAGAAGTGATTCACAGAAGACTAGATTCAAACACAGTTTTGGCCAAGCCTTGGAAATGGCTAATTTGAATCTAGCAAAAAAAAAAGTTTTGTAAAATATGTATATTTTTTTAAATGAATGAGAACCATGAGGATTCTGTGGCCTAATGAATATAGACAATTATGTAGACAGCATGAAATTACAAGTCAGAGTAGGATTATCAGAAGATATGATGAATTCAGATAGAGCATTTTTTTCTTTTAAGGTCAAGATAGGTCCTGGTGTGGCACTGTGGAATAAGCACTCAACTGCTAACCACAGGGTTGGCAGTTCAAGCCCAGAAGCCACCCCTCAGAAACCCTATGCAGGGTCGCGATGGTTCGGAATCAACTCGATGGCACAACAGTAACAACAGTGTCTAAGATGCCAGTGGGACTTCATGAGGAAAGGTCTGAAGGAGAATCGTGAATGGTATTCCTGAAGTTCAGGGAAATGGCCGGGTTAACACTGGAGTCTTGGGCTTCTTTGGCTTTGTTGAGCCTCTTTGGCTTTGTAGAGGCACAGAACCCACAAGAAGGGACCAGAAAACAAAAATGTGTGAAGAGAAGATCAGAGAAGTTGGTAAGACTGGAGGCCCTTAAACGGAAAGAGGAATGCCATCTTCAGTGTTGACAAGGTGGAGTTTGAGCCAGTTGGAGACAGTGAGACTGATAGGAGATGGGGAGGAAGACTTGGATGGCGTGCCCTCTTCTTGCCATTGACATTGTTCAGTTTGTCCTCAGTGGTTCTCATGAAAAGCTGACACATTCCCCAGTTATGAGCTATGATGATCTCAAACTGTCTACGTCATTCCTCCGCCAGCCATGTTATAAAGACTTTCCCCCTTTGGGCTTTGTTTTTCGTCTCTTGTTTTATTTCCCATCTCAGCTAGGAATTTTAATTGATCATCTCATGTACCAAGTCTCTAAAACATAACAAGAATTTTGTATTACTCTTATTTCTCTAAACAGAACATTCTGGACACAGTCGGTGATGGGCAGAGCAAGCTTGATGCCGTGACTCAAGAGGGACAGACTCTGTACGCATATTTGTCTAAACAAATTGTCAGTAGCATTCAGGAACACATTACAAAGGCTAATGAAGAATTTCAGGCATTTCTGAAGCAATGCCTCAAAGACAAACAGGCTCTTCAAGACTGTGCTTTAGAACGTGGGAGGTAAGTGGTTTGGACAAACAGATTTATCTCGTACGCTGTCTTCAAAGATTTTGAGATAAGTTGTTGTTGTTGTTAAGTGCCGTCGAGTTGGTTCCGACCCATAGCGACCCTGTACAGGGTTTCCGAGGGTGTAAATCTTGACGGGAGGAGAAAGCCTCATCTTTCTCCCGCGGAGCGGCTGGTAGTTTCGAACCGCTGACCTTAAGGTTTGCAGCCCGATTCGTAACTACTATGCTACCAGAGCTCCTTAAGTTGTTTAAGTTGTTGTTAGATGCTGTCAAATAGGTTCTAACTCATTGCAGCCCCATCTACAGCAGAACGAAACATCGCCTGGTACTGTACTAGCCTCATTTGTTATACAACTTCTATCTTTACAAGCCCTTTTGTTTTCTTTTCTGATTTTTGTTTTTTAAACTTTTTATTGTGAATTGAGTGAAGGTTTACAGAACAGATCGTCAGTTTTACAGTCAACGGATCATAGACTTTGCTTCATTACATGGTTACAATCCCCTCCATGCACCAACAGTTACCAGCATTTACCTCTACTCACTTGAACCACTGCATTCCTCCCTGTGTCCCCCGCCACCCCCATCGTTCCTCTGCCAACCTCTCTATGTTTGTATATTGCCTGCCCCATCATGAATGTCAATGCATGTCTACCTTCTAACATGTGAATCATTTCCTTCCCCCCTCATAAAATCATAGATTTTCTTTTATCAAGAACTGCTCCCTTTATATTTTGATGTACAAAAAAGCCCACACAGGAATATGTAATAATTTAAATAACCAAAGGGCATACACATTCTGGAAGACAGCCTCCTGGCCTCCAGCACACAGCCTTTCTCTTTCCATAAGCCTCGAGTCCTCAGCTGCTCAGTCTCTCCATTCTACCACCTCTGCCTCCATCTCTGGTGCTGCTACTTCTCTGATTAGGGTCCCATGTTCTGTTTATGCTCTTCCTTCTTGATGGTCCTAGGGTCCTCTGTTCCTGGAATGTAAGATTAACTACTCCCCTCTTTTGTTACACAACTTCTACCTTTACAGTTGTGACAATTGCAATTTGTCATGAGAACAATTACTATTGAATCAAAGGAATCCTGTCTCCATCTCCTTTCACCAGACCCATCTAGACATGATGAAAACTATGCAGTGGTGATTCTAACTTCCTCTGCAAACTGTGAAACTAAACTCCCTCCTGAAAACTTGTAAGCCAGCCACTTTGTGCCTTTATAGTGACTGAAAGCCTTGTGAATTGCAATGGAATACTACCAGACATACTGCTGGAAGATGGGTCCTTCAGGTCAGAAGGCACTCAAAATTTAACTGGGAAAGAGCTGCCTCCTCAAAGTAGAATTGGCTTTAATGGTGTGAATGGAGCCATTTGGGGGACTTTCATTTGCTGATGTAGTACAACCCAAATAAGAAACAACTGGAAACATACGTTAATAATCAAGAACATGGAATGTACAAATATGAATCTAGGAAAATTAGAAGTTATCAAATACGAAATAGAATAAATAAAGATCAATGTTTTAGGTATTAGTTAACTAAACTGGACTGGTATTGGCCATTTTGAATGAGATAATTATATGTTTTACTATACTGACATGACAAAGTGAAGAGTCATTTTCAAAAAGAATATTTCAAGAACTATCTTAAAGTGCAATGCTGCCTGTGATAGGATAATAGCCACATGCCTACAAAGAAAACCAGGTAATACCACTATTATTTAAATGTATGCATCAAGTACTGAAGCTAATCATGATGAAATTGAAGAATTCTACCAACTTTTTCAGTCTTAAATAGAACAAACACGCAATCAAGATGAATTGATGATTGGTGATTGAAATGCAAAAGCTAGAATCAAAGAGGAAGGATATGGTTTTAGTAATAGAAATGATGCTGGAGATCCAATGATTGAATGTCCTAGGAATTGCAATACCAATGACAATTCATTGTAAGTACTTTTTATCAACATAAAAGGCATTGTACTTGAACCTCAATAGATAGAACACACAAGAATCAAATAGACCACTTCTCTGGAAAGAGATTATAGAGAAGTTCAGTATCAGCCAAAATAAAACCAGGAGCAGACTGTGGCACAGACCATCAATTGCTCACATTCAAGTTCAGGCTGAAGTGGTAGAAAACTAAAATAAGTCCACATGAGCCAAAATTTGACTTACAACATATCCCACCTGAATTATGAGGCCATCTCAAGAACAGATTCGATGCATCTAACACTACTGACCAAAGACCAGAGGATTTGTAGGATGACATCAAGAACATCTTCTGTGAAGGAAACAAAGTATTATAAAGGCAAGGATAAAAGAAAAGAACAAAGTGAATGTCAGAAAAGACTCTAAAACTTAGTCTTGAACATAGAGAAACTAAAACACCTATAAGAAATGATGAAGGAAAAGAGCTGAACAGAAAATTTCAAATGGTAACTTTAGAAGACAAAGTAAAGCATTTATAATAAAATGTGCAAAGACCTGAAGTTAGAAAACAAAAAGGGAAAAACAAAGCATTTCTCAAGTTGAAAGAACTGAAAAAAAAAACACACACAAAAAAGATTACACTTCTGATTAAGATACAGAAAGATTCTCTGGGCAAAATATTGAATGAGGAAGGAAGCATCAACTGAAGAGTACCAAAGTCACTATAGGAAAAAGACTCAATGTACAACCATTTCAAGAAATACCAAATAATCAAGAACCACTGATTTTGAAGGGAAAGGTCTAATCTGCAGTGAAGGCATTGGTGAAAAGCCGCTAGGAATAGATGAAGCACAAATTGAAATGCTTCAACCAGCTGATGCAGCAACTGGAGGCACTCACTTCTGTAGAACAAGCTATTTGGAAGATAGCCACCTTGCCAACCATTTGGAAAATATCCATATTTGTGCCCATTCCAAAAAAAGGTGACTCAACGGAATGTAGAAATCATCTAACAATATCATTAATATCACATGCAAGCAAGATTTTGCTGAAGATATTTCAAAAATAATGGCAAAAGTACATGGACGGGGGAGCAAATCTTTACAGCGAGGATCATTCCCACACCCTCCATACTCAGAGTAGACAGGGATGGACAACTTGGACATTGGCTACCCAAAAATGGGGGGGGGGGCTTACAAAGGCAAGAAGTGACTGGCTTACAAGCTTTCAAGAGGGAGGCTAGATCCAGAGGGCGTGGAGGAAGGTAGACTCTCTGCTGAGTAGTATCCAATCTGTCTGGGCGGGGCAAATGAAAGGAGATGGGGATAGGTCCCTTGTGGTACAATAGTGAATAATTGTTATCAGGACTGATTGTTAGGGTTAGAAATGTAAAGGTGGACGTTTTGTAGCAAAAGGAGGGGAGTGATTGACTTTGCAGTCTAGGAGTGGAGGTCCCATCAAGGGAGAAGAGCAGAGAACGGGACCCTACCCAGAGAAGCAGTGATGCCAGAGATGGAGGCAGAGACGACGACATGGAGAGATGGAGAAGCTGGGGACTCTAGATCCAGAGAGGGAGAGAGGCTGTGTGCTGACGACCAGGGGATAGAAGGGCAGGCTTGCAGGTTATACCCTTTGGTTGGTTGATGATGCATGGAGGGGCTTGTAACCATGGCAATGAAACTATATAGGATAGGATGAATGTAAAGCTAATGTTCTGCCATGTAAACTATCATATAATTCACAATAAAACATTAAAAAAAGAAAAAGTACATGGACAGGGAACTGCCAGAAATTCAAGTAGGATTCAGAAGAGGATGTAGAATGAAGGATATCCTTCCTGATGACAGATATATCTTGGCTAAAAGCAGAGGACAACAGAAAAATGTTTACCTGTGCTTTATTAACTGTGTGGATCATGACAAGCTATGGACAACACTGCAGAGAACAAGTATTCCAGAACACTTACTTGTGCTCACAGGAACCTGTATATAGACCAAGAGACAGTAGTTAGAACAGAACAAGGGGACACTGAATGGTTTAAAATCAGGAAATGTGTGTGCCAGGTTTATACCTTTTCTCTATACTTAATCACTTTGTATGCTGAGCACAAAGTCTAGGAAGCTGGATTATATAAAAAAGAACATGGCATCAAGATTGGAGGAAGACTCATTAACAGCCTGAGACATGCAGATTACAACCTTGTTCTGGAAGTGAAGAGGTCTGGAAGTACTTAACTGATGTAAGTCAAAGACCACAGTCTTCGCTATGGATTTCACCACATTGTAAAAAAAAAAACCACAGTGATGCAACCCCTACTGAAACACTGCACATGAATGAACCAATAAATACTATCATGGTCAATGGAGAAAAGATTAAGTTGTTGAAGTTATCAAAGACTTCATTTTACTTGGATCCACCGTCAACACTCATAGCAGCAGCAATCAAGAAACCAAATGATATTAAGGGCATATCCACAAAACCAGCAGCCAACATTACTCTCAGTGGAGAGAAACTGAGTATCCACTTTGTTAAAAGGAACCAGACAAGGATGTTCATTAGCATCACTGTTATTCAATATTGAGCTAGAAGTCTTAGTCAAAGCCATAAGGCAAAAAAGGGAAATTAAAAGTATGCAAATTGGTGAAGAAGTAGTAAAACTCTGTTTGCAGATGGTATGGGTCTTATACTGAGAAAATCCCCAAGACTCAGCAAGAAGATTATTGAAATTCATTGAAAGATTCAACAAAGTGTCAGGGTCTGAGATCAACATGAAAAAAACAGGATTCCTTTACATTCATAAAGAGAGTTCTGATAAAGGATGTCAGGAAAACAATGACATTTACAGTAGTCACCCAAAAGATGAAATATTTAATAATAAGTTAATTTAAAAACAAAATATTTATATAAAGAAAACTACAAAACACTACTTCAAGAAACCAAAGGAGACCTATAAAAATGGAAGAATTTTCCAAGCGTATGGTTAGGAGGATTTAACATTGTGAAAATGTCAGAACTACACAAAATGAACTATAAAGTACAATCCCAATCCAGATTCAAATACCATCCTTTCATGAGATGGAAAAACTAATCATTAACTTTATAGGGAAAGGAAAGATATCCCATATAACAAAAGCATTACTAAAAAAGAAGAAAGTAGGAGACCTTTCACTTCCCTGATTTCAAAACCCCATAACCACAGTTAATCAAAACAGCCTGGTAATGGAACAATGAAAGGTACATAGATCAGTGAAACAGAACTGAGAACCTAGTAGGAAATCCATCCACATTCAGTCTATTAATCTTTGACAAAGGGCCAAAAGACATTAAATGGGGAAGAGAAAGAAGAATTTGAAATAAGATCCATATCTCACACCATATACTAAAATGAACTCAATGTGGATTATAAGGTAAAACCTAGCACTATAAAGATCATTGGTGAAAAAATGGAAACCAACTTTAGGGTTCTGATCCATGGTGTAAATACGCTGAAAAACACAAAACAGTAGAAGGCAAAATTGATAACTAGGACTTCCTAAAAATGAGAAACTGTTGTGTTGTTAGGTGCTGCTGAGATGGTTCTGATTCACAGTGACCTTAGGCACAAACAGAACAGTGAATGAAACAATGCCTCGTCCTGTGCCAGGCTCATAATCACTGTTAAGCTTGAGGCCAGTGCTGTTGCCGCTGTGTCAATGCATCTCATTGAGGGGCTCCCTCTTTTTTGCTGACCCTCCACTTTACCAAACATCATGTCCTTCTCCAAGGACTGGTCCCTCCTGATAAATATATCCAAGGTATGAGAGAGGAAACCTGATCACCTTGGCTTCTAAGGAGCATTCTGGCAGAACTTCTACACAGATCTATTTGTTCTTCTGGCAATTCATGGCACTTTTAATATTCTTCTCTAGTACCGTAACTCAAATGCATCAATTCTTCTATGATCTTCCTTATTCATTTTCCAAATTTCACAAGAATATGAGACTATTGAAAATACCATGGCTTGTTCAGGTACACCTTTGTCCTCAAACTGATATCATTGCTCTTCAACACTTTAAAGAGGTCTTGTGCAGCAGATTTGCTTAATGCAATAAGTTGTTTGATTTCTTAGTTGTTGTCTGTATGAATGTTGGTAATGGATCAAGCAGAATCAAATTTTTGTCAACTTCAATCTTTTCTCCACTTATCATGATATTATTTATTGATCCAGGATTTTTGTTTTCTTTACACTGAAGTGTAACCCATACTGAAGGCTTTGGTCTTTGATCATCAGTAAATATTTTAAGTTCTCTTCGCTTTCAGCAAGCAAGGTTGTATCATCTGCAAATCACAGATTGTTAATGAGTCTTACTCCAATCCTGATGCCATGTTCTTTTCATGTAATCCAGCATCTCAGATTATATTATAAACACACAGATTGAATAAGTACGGTGAAAGAATACAACCTTGTTGCACACCTTTCCTGATTTTAAACAATTCTGTGTACACTTGTTCTGTTTGAACAACTGCCTCTATTTCTGTGTACAGGTTCCTCATGAGCACAATTGAGTGTTCACTAATACTCATTCTCCACAATATATTGTTCATACCTTGTCATGATCCATGCATTCAAAATCCTTTGCATAGTTAATAAAGCAGTTAATCTCTGCTTTTCAGTCAATATCCATCTGATGTCAGCAATGATGTACCTCATTCCACATCCTCATCTGAATCTGGCTTGAACCTCTGGTAGCTCACTATCAATGTATGGTTGCCATTTTTGAATTATCTTTAGCAAAATGTTCATGCATGTGATATTAATGATATTGTCAGATGACTTTTGCATTCTTCTGGCTCTTCTCTCTTTAGAATTGGTACAGCTATCAGTTGGCCAGGTAGCTGTCTTCCAAATTTCTTGGCATAGATGAATGAGTGTTTCCAGTGCTGCGTCAGTTTGTGGAAAGATTTCAATTTGTATTTTATCAATACCCAGAGCCTTTGATCTTTGCCCAGTCCTTCAGTGCACCTTGGACTTCTTCCTTCAGTATTATTGGTGCTTGATCATATGATACCGCTTGAAATGGTTGAACATTGATAATTTCTTTTTGGTACTGTATATTCCTTCCATCTTCCTTTGATGTTTTCTGTATCATTCAGTATTTAGTCCAAATAATCCTTCAGGCTTGAATTTTTTCCTCAGTTCTTTCAACTTGAGAAATGCTGAGTGTGTTCTTTCCTTTTGGATATTCATCTGATGAGGTCTATAAGTATAGTCATTTTTTTATGTTGTTTAAAAGAGGTGTTTGCAATGAACAAGTCATTGGTCTTGCAAAATTCTGTCATGTGATCTCCAGCATCATTTCTATCACCAATGCCATATTTTCCAACTAGTGACTCTTCTTCTTTGTTCCCAGTCTCTGAATTCTAATCACCAGTAATTATCAATACATCTTGATTTCTTGTTTGATGAATTTCAGACTGAAGAAGTTCGTGGAATTAATCAGTCTCATCATTGGCTTTAGTGGTTGGTGCATAAATTTGAATAATAGTTGTATTACTGGTCTACCTTGTAGTGTATGGCTAGTATCCTCTCATAAACAGCATCATTATACATCAAGACAGATCTTGAAATTTTTGATGATTAATGTGATGACATTCTTTTCAATTTATCATTATGGGTATAGTCAACCATGTAATTGTCAGATTCAGAGTGGCCAATGACAGTTCATTACTGCCCACTGATGGCTAGGATACCAATCATTATGCTTTCCATTTCAATTTTGACAACTTCCCTTTTTCCTGGATTCATACTACATACATTCCATGTTCTGATTTTTAATGGATGTTTATAACTGCTTCTCCTCATTTTGAGTTGTTACCCATCAGCAAATGAAGGTTCCAAAAGCTTACTCCTTTCATGTCATTATGGTCAACTCTACTTTGAGGAGGCAGCTCTTCCCAGCTGTATTTTGAGTGTCTTCCAACCTGAGGGGCTCATCTTTGAGCACAACATTGTGGTGTTATTCATATATTCCAATATTCAATATTTTGCTGCTACCTGACAGTGTTCCGCTGCTCTTCATTGTTTCCAGTGTTTAAATATTCAGAAGTAGTTCGCCTCTTCTTCTTCGCAGTCTGTCTTTGTCTGGAAGTGTAGCTGAAACCTGTCCACCTTGGGTGATGCTGCCAGCATTCAAAATACCGGTGGCATAGCTTCCAGCATCATCAGAACAGCACACAAGCCACCACAGTGTGACAGACTGACAGACGAGTGGAGGAAATGATCTAATGAAAAGTGGGCAGATACATTACCAAAGAAGACATTCAGGCAGCCAGCAAACATGTGAAGAAATGCTCACAATTATCAGCATTGTTGTTAATGTCATCAAGTCGGTTTTGACTCACAGTGACCCTGTATAGGGATTCCGAGGAGTAGCTGGTAAACTTAAACTACTGACCTTGTGGTTCAAACCAACCTTGCAATCCAGTACATTAGCTTACAATACCACACCAGGACTCCGTACTTTTATGCACATCCTTCAAACCAGAGTTGAACCAGTGACCTAAGGATGCCCCAACGTGTGTTGTCTATATTCCTCCACTCTACCAGCTAAGCTATTGAAGGGTGTTTGAGATAAACTCTGGGATATGCCTTTCAAGAAAAGGAGGCCCATTAGGGAGATGCAAATCAAAACAACAATGAAAGATCTCACTCGAGCATTAATAGCACCAGTGGGCTCAAACATAGCCGTTATGAGGCTGACACGGGACTGGGCAGTGTTTCGTTAAATTGTGCATAGGGTTGCTATGAGTTGGAACCCACTGAACAGCATCTAACAACAATAATAGCATAGTAATCAATGTCTCAGAGTCTTAAGTTATGTGGCCTTATTTCTGTATAGAAAAAAGAAAGAAATTTTATCTCCTAGTAATTATAAACCGCACGTATAAATGCAATTAGTATTTGTCTCTTGGACGAACACAATATATTAGAACTTTGCTACTCCGTCTTCTTGATGACCCAAACCCATTTTTCATGTCTCCTTCTGCTGAGATGAAGTCATAGTAAAAAACACCTTTTGAATTTCTGTGGCTCCAGAGTTCTATCAGGAATGCAAAACTGATGATGATCTGCTCTATAAACCTTCACCCAATTTATACTAAAATGTTAAAAACAAACAAACAAAAACACTGTTGTTACAAAATCATAGAAACCTTTATTAAACAAAAGTATCAAAGTGTGAAAACAAAATATTTCTATCAGTTAGATGTGGCAACAGTTGTTTTTAAGTACCATGGAGTCAGTTCCAACTCATAGTGAGGGTACACTGCACAGGGTTTCCGAAGCTGTAAATTTTTATGGGAGCAGAAAGTCTCATCTTTCTCCCATGGAATGGCTTGTAGTTTCGAACTGTTGACCTTGAGGTTAGCAACCCTATTTGTAACACTACAGTGGTGACTATAAAATGAGACAGAACTGAAGTCATTGCTCTGGATGGCCAGAAGGTGTCAGTATAATCAAAGTGACTTCTCAGTCGTAGTCTGAGTTGCCTGAGTCTGGTCTGTTTTTTGGAGAACTTGCATTGTTTTCAAAATCTACAGTTCTTAAGTTTTATTTAAATGTCTTTAAAATACAAAGACACGAGGACAAACTTCTCTTCTTTTCTCTGTGCTTCCATTCCTTCATTAACCATTGGTCCCCATCCAAATACCTTTGTAGTACAAAATGTTCCCTGCACACTGACATGAGAATATAATCTTTATAGTGATTGCCAGGTGTGCTTACCACTGAATCAGTTCAGCAAGATGAGGAGTTTTGTGTTCTTGTGTTTTTTTTCTCCTTTAAGCTCAAAATAAATTACCACGATTTGTCATTTTGCAATTGAAATAAGAGATCATTTGAATAGGACTTTTATAGAACTTGGAAATTCAGGAGCCCTTAATTGCTATATAAAAGTCACTGTGAGTTGGTTGGTTGGTTGTTGGTTATGTGCCATGGAGTCAGTTCCAACTCAGAGAAACCTCTTATTATAAGTACAGAAGGAATCTGCTAAGGCATTTTTTTCTTTTCTTTAGTTTTGAGGATCAACACAGGAATCTGAACTTATGGATCCATGAGATGGAAGAGAGATTACAGACAGAAAATTTAGGCGAGAAAAAGCAACACATTCCCGAGAAGAAAAATGAAGTCCATAAAGTTGAAATGTTTTTGGGAGAACTACTGGCTGCAAGGTATGATGTGGGAATGGAATAGGTCTTTTCCTTGCGGCTAGTTTTTTTTTTTTTTTTTTTTCTGATTGGTTCTTTGGTTGTTAGGATTGATGGTTGGGTGGTTGACGGTTGATGGTGGTGGTATGTTCTTGTGGCTGGATGGCTGTAGCACACTAACAAGAAACTGTATTTCCGATAGCAGTGTGGTATCTGGACAGAGCACAGGGAAGTGAGTAAAGAACTGACTTGTGTCCTGGGTCCACCTCCCTTTGCTTCGTAAATTGGGCAGGCCACTCATTTACTCTATTTCATTATTTTAGTCTTTTAACATTATTTAAATAGTAAGTATTTCCTCCCAGGGATTATTTTGAGGATCTACTAACATAATGTGAAGCTGTTATGAAGACTTTCTTTTTGTTAACAGTGCCTGGATGAATTGGCCCCTGACTTACGGAAAATCCATGTACAAAGGGATTGGATTGGTGTGGTCCATGCTGTTTTCATTGGCTGATTTTTTCAGAAATAGCCAGGCCTTTCTTCCTACTCTGACTTAGTCCAAATGTTCTGTTGAACCCTGTTTACCATCATAGCAACATGCAAGGTCTCCACTCACCAAGGAGTGGCAGCTGGGCTTATGGTGGGTTGGCTGGGACTTGTATCTCAGTCTTCTGTATGTAAGATGAGAACTCTCCCACTGAACCATGGTTGTCAACACTATGAAGAAAGGAAGATCACAGAATCACAGGGATTGTAAGGGTACTCTTCATTTCCAAAATAAAAACTATAGATCCCCTTAATTTCTATATCTTCATCACATATGTCAGTCCCTAGATCTATTTCCAACCCTCCCCACCTCAATCATTTTCCTCATGAAAGAAAAGATATTGTCATTAATTATCATCATTCTTGTTGTATCTCATCTCCAGTGAAGGATTGATTTCCTCATTGCTTCCACATGAAGAAAACGTTTTCTGGCTCCTTCCTAAGTCAGGTTCTCTGGTCAAGCACACCACTACCTACAGTGGGTCGCTCTCTGGTATTTTCCATCACTTCCTGCCTCCCTGGCAGATGGAGCACTTTCCACTAGGGAATTGTACCTTGGGCTCCTGGAATGACCTCTTAAGGAGGGGTTGCATGGGCCTGTGGTGCTGGAGAGGATAGCACCCAATGTACTCGATTAGATAACTCAGCCAGCCTGATACAGTAAACTGAAAATGGCTACATGAACTCACTCTCATTCCATTTTCTACTGAGTCCTCTCTTTTGTTCAAACATGCCCTTTATTCTTTGTCTTAAAATATATATTTGCAAAGGAACAAACAAAACCCCAACTACACCTCCGAGATATTGTGGGTTCAGTTCCAGATCACCACATTAAGGCAAGTCACACAAATTTGCAGTTAAATGTTTGCATGATACTGTGGTCTGTTAAAGGAGCCCTGTAGTGTAGTGGCTTGCAAGCTGGTCTACTAACCGCAGGGTCTCAATAGTTTGAATCTACCAGTTGCTCCTCAGGAGAAAAATGATACCTTTCTGCTCCCATGAAGATTTACAGCCTTGGAACCCCGATACAGGGTCACTATGATTTGTAACTGACTGATGGCACTTAACAATAAAAATCATAATTCTAATTATTTATATGACTTTCAGAAAATCACATTGAACTGTAGTTTACTTTTAAAAATCTTGGCCCTTGTTGTCGCTGTTAAATGTCATTGAATCGATTTTTGACTCATGCACCACTGCATAGTGTTTCCAAGGATGTAAATCTTTGCAGCAGCAGAAATCCTCATCTTTCTCTCGAGGAGTGGTTGACCTTGTGCTTATCTTCTAGACCCGCCAGCTCCTCAGTCAGACACAATACAACAGGACTGCAGTCTTTCTCTTTTCCATCTGGACTTTTAAAGTGACTTTTTGTACTTGCCTTATATTGCTTCTTCTGATGTTGTCTCAACTTCCCTTTGTTTCTGCTTCTCTGGCCATCATTACACTAACTGTGCATTCAAGAAAGTAGCATTTATTCCGTTTCTTACCAAATTCAACATCTATCTTTAATTCTCATAGTTTTTCTGATAGGTGCAGCATTTTGACAGTGACAATCTTGCAGCCCATCCTGAAATTTAATACCACTTCATCTCAGCAGTTATTTGGAGGATCCACAAGATAATGTGAAGCTGATAGGAAGAATTTCTTATAGTGGCAGAAGGATGAGTTGGCCCCTAACTTGTAGAGACCTCAGTGATGGAACCATAGTGAGCCTACTGTTCTCACTGTTTCTGGTCTTCTATGGTCGAATGCTAAGAGATCTTAGGTGTGTTTGCCTCATGTGCTTTCCCCAAACTGGCTATGTTTCCTTACAATCGCCATCGTGGTGCTGATCTCCCAAGTTCTCAAGCTAAGTCCCTGGTTTCTCCCTTGCCACTCATTCTTCCCAGCCCAGAGAAGACAATCCTCTCAAAATATCAATCTTCTTTCACTAAGATTGGACATCAGGATAAAAATTAATTGCCAGTTAACCCTTTGATAACTATAGGTCTACGCTACATAAAATGACAGCTCTGCTTGGAACCAAATGATTCATTGTATATATTCTTGGGCTTACTCTTCCGTGTCCATGAAACAATAGCTCTCTATCCTTCCGTCCCCCAGTCTCTGATAACATGGAATCTATTATTGTCCTGGCCAGCATCTTTAGAGGTGTCAACCTTCAGCGTTGGTCTGGTGAGTCTCCAAAAGTAGCACTTCTCTGAACCCCAAAATGCCGGACTGAAGCCATGTTTGTTTCCCTTAGAGAGTCTCTGGACAAGCTCTCCCAGAGAGGGCTGCTTCTCAGTGAAGAAGGCCATGGCGCTGGGAAGGAAGGGCGCCAATGCTCCCAGCTCCTCACCAGCTACCAGAACATGCTCAGAACGACCAAAGAGAATCTCCGAAGCTGCCAGGTGGCCCTCCAGGAGCATGAGACCCTGGAAGAAGCTCTGCAGAGCATGTGGTCCTGGGGGAAAGACATCCAAGACAGACTGGCCTGCGCAGAGAGCACGATTGGAAACAAAGACACCTTGGAAAAGCGCCTCTTACAAGTGCAGGTATGTGGGCCAGCAGCTAGATACTCCTAGTGCTGTTGGAGAAGCCCTGGACTGGTAACCACAAGTTCAGAAGTTCAAATCCACTTGCTGCACCTTGGGTAAAAGATGAGGCTATCTGCTGTCCTAAAGGTTTACAATCTAGGAAATCCTATACAGGGCCACTGTGAGTTGGAATTAACCTGATGGCAGTAGGTTTGATTTTTGTTTTATGTTGGAGAACCCTGATGATACAGTGGTTAAGTGCTAAGCAGCTAACCGAAACATTGACAGTGGGACTCCAGTAGCTGCTCTGCAGGAGACAGATGTGCCGTCTACTTCTTTCAAGATTCTTGTTAGTGCTATCAAGTCAGTTCAGACTCATAGCAACTCTGTATAGGATTTCTGGGAAGCAGCTGGTGAGTTTGAACTGCTGATCTTGTGGTTCACAGCCCAGCTCCAACCCTACAGCACCACACCAGGAGTCCTCTGTAAAGACCAAGTCTTGAAAACTCTATGTGCTGGATAGTAAACCACAAGGTTGGTGGTTCAAGCTCACCAGCTGCTCCTCGGAAACCCTATACAGGGTCACTTTGGGTCAGGACCTACTTGACGGCACTTCACAACAACAGCAAGTGGGGTCACTCTGAGTTGGAATGAACTCAGCAGCTGTGAATTTTTTGTGTAAAATGAAGAGGACCAAAATATTAAGAAAGTTTTTACTTGGTGTTAAGATAATAGATTACTTTTCATTTCCTTTCTTGCCTCTTGGAGTCTTCCAGATATCACATGTTGTTGCTGTTGTTACATGTCACAGAGTTGGCTATGACTCATAGTGACCCTGTATAAGGAGTGACCCCGTATAAGGTTTCCAAGAAGCTGCATGTGGGTTTGAACCTCTGACATTGTGATTAGCCGTCAAGTGCTTATCCTACAGCACCACATCACTCTGCACTGAATTTGTACAATCTTACAGTTAAGAAACAATAAAAACAAACAAAGGAAAATATTATTTACAAACATCTGATTTCTGTTTCTTCGACTATGATTCGTCCTTCCTAGGAAATTCTGCTGATGAAAGGTGAGGGTGAAGTCAGGTTGAATATGGCCGTGGGCAAAGGTGAACAGGTCTTGAGAAGCAGCAACAAAGAAGGCCAGAAGGTGATTGAGTCTCAGCTGCAGGCCCTGAGAGACATGTGGACAAACATCATGAGCTCCTCAGTCCAGACTCAGAGGTAATAGGCCTGGTGTGCATGTTGATTCACCTACATCCAGCCCGAGGCTTAGGACAGTGATGGACATGTGGCGAGGGTCTCCTGTAGGCGCCTCACCAGCATGTGACTCTAGCCAATTGTAGATGTATCTCTGCCTCCATGAAGATTCTATTTCCCAAAAGGGCAAAGACTAGTTACGTTTGCTTGCTTACTTTACTTATTTTCTTTTAATACATATTGTTGTTGTTGTTGTTAAGTGCCGTGGAGTCAGTTCCTACCCATAGCGACCCTGTATGGGGTTTCCAAGGGTGTAAATCTTTACGGGAGTAGAAAGCTTCATCATATATATA